GGGGGGGGGGGGGGGGGGGGGGGGGGGGGGGGGGGCAGTGCCTCAACTTCCAAGCACAGGGTGGGAGTCCAGCCCACGGGCGGTGCATCCTGCACCTCCCGGGCCCCCACGCCTCTCCCCCGCACTCGCGTGGGCGAGCAGAGCCCTTCCCCCATGGTGGGGAGGGGCTGGGCGCGTGCGCTGTGCGGGGGACGGTCATGCGTGGGGATGCACCCCCCGCCCCCGCCCTTTGTCCCGCTAGTGGGAGGGGGAGCGGTCGTGGAAGGGGGTCCCAGCGTAGGCATGCACCAGGCCAGAGATGCAAACGCGGCTACCATCCCCCGCCCGCGGACACCCAGGGTCCGAGGGACTGGGGCCCCCCACTCTCACCCACCCGCGCGCGGAATCTGGCCCGGGGAGCGACGGCAGCGGTGGCGCCCATGCCCGGCGCCGGGGAGCGTCTGCAAAGCGTCAAGGGGAGCGGAGGGAAGCGCCCACCCACCGGTGAGCGGGCGGGGCGGCAGGGGGAACAAGTCTTGGAACTGGGCGGCTGAGTGGGGAAGGCCATGGGGACTGGCCAGGTCCAGCCAGCCCGGCGAGCCTCCTCCAGGAGGCCCCGAACCCAGCTGAAGCCCGGCGTTTGCGGCGGATGCCATGGGCCGCACTTGCGTGATGGCCCCTTGGATCACTCTAACCCCCGCCCGACCCGAAGCTTAAGAAGGGAACGTCACAAAATTCCCATCCTGGACGACAGGCGCGGCTCCTGTAGGTGGCGATGCGCTGAGTCGGTCCGAGAGAAAGCAGGGGATTGTTGAGACAGCCAGGAAAGTTGATGCGAAGGAAGAATCACCTTTTAACGATCTCGGGGAACTGGCCTGTATGGACTCCCACGACTGGCCCAAACTCCCGCAGCAAGACCCCAAAGTTCCCAGGGATGTGGGGGCCAGGGTGGGAGGTGGGGGTTGTGGGAATTACCTCTCTATCTGTAAAAGAGGGCCGGGAACAGGCCACCCCCCACCCCGGTGTTGATGACTAAGAGCTGGGTTTGGAACAGCCAGTCCTGGTCGCTCCTATTCCTCCCCAGCCTCGGTTTACTCACCTGTAAAGTGGGGAGATTATAATCCCTTTTAGGTTCCTTGTGACACGCAAAAAGCTCAACCCAGCACCTGGCCACAGTCAGGGTTCAAGATCAGAGTACCATTAGTGTGATTTGAGGTCAGATGATAGGGTACGAACACAGCCTCCAGGAGGCTCTTTCCCACTCTGGGAAATGTGAATGAGAGATGTTCCTCCACCCAAAAAAGAGGTCAGAAGAGGAAATGAGGCCTAGCACAGTGCCTGGCACAAAAGAGACAAGGAAAATGAATTAAGAAAGCAGATGTTTATTAAGCTTGAGGCTCAGCTCCACCTGCCTCTCCTTCTGTTCACCAGTAGCATCCATGCTGTGGAATTCTGCAAGCCCTTATGAGCACAGTTTTAACCCTGTAGAGAGAATCTAAATGTCTGCGCCACCTAGAAAGCTGTGACCACACTCCACTCCTCCACTCTGGAATTCTGCAAGCCCTTATGAGCACAGTTTTAACCCTGTAGAGAGAATCTAAATGTCTGCACCACCTAGAAAGCTGTGACCACACTCCACTCCTCCACTCCCCGCTTCACTTGACAGATAAATTGTAGCCTGGACCAAAAAGTCCAGGGGGGAGTCACCTGCCCTAGGTTGGGCAGACTACTCTTTTTCAAACTACAGGTTCATGGGCAGAGAGTTCAATATGGTAGGATAGAATTGGCAGTTAAATAGTCAATGAAAAACTTTTGTTTCAGATTTATCTTCTGTGTATGTATACCGGATTGCCCCATAAAATGCGTTTGTTATAGTGGACTGTGGTTTAAAAATTTTTTTTTCAAAAAGCTTTAAAAACACTCTTCCCAGATGGCACAGGTCGTCAAGAGCCAAGGGAGGCCTAACCCCAATGCAGGCCAACTTTCCCACTCCCCAGCCAAGCAAAGTGAAGCCCAAGTGGGCCAGGCACTTACTAAGGTCTCCGTGCTAGACATCGGGCAGAGTTGATCCAAAACACTATCTCCAAAAACAAACTTTGAGTGCCCAACATGGGAAACCTGTTTATTGTTTGTCCAGTCTCAGGCCTTGGTTGGGGAGAGGGAGGCAGGTCTGGGGCCCTTTCCCCGACATAAGCAAGGAGGCCTCAGGAAGATGGTGCACATTCCCCCAGCCACTTTTTTGAAGCTGGAGAATTTCCACAAACAGCACACTCCCCCCAACCCCATCCCTCCAGCCTGGGCTCCACCATGGAATATCTGATGTTTTTGAGGCTAGAGGACTCCATGCTGTGTTAGGGCTCATTCACATCATAACTCCAAAACCTAAAGATTACTCCTGGGCTCCTCCTTCAGGCAGACCTCAGTCTCTGAGATGAGGCTGGTCTATGTTTGTGTCCAGGGCCTGAAAGCTAGCCTCAGGCTCTGGCCAGGTTTCTGAGGGCAACAAGAGTCCACGCTCCCCACAGAGTCCTATGTACCTGGGATACCCAGCAATCCAGCTCATGGATGCTTCCATCGAGTATGTTTCTGCAGTGTGTTCTGCTCCATAAAGCGGCGCGGGCAGTGTGGGCACTGAAAGGGGCGCTCCCCTGAGTGCACCCGGCTATGTTGGGCCAGCTCACCCACATCCCTGAAGCGGCGAGGGCAGAGTGGGCAGCCATGGGGCCGCCCACCACCAGCCCGATGAATGGAGTGGTGCCGTGCCAAGTGGCTGGCCCGCTTGAATGCCTTCCCACAGGTGTCACACTCGAAGGGCTTTACCTCTGAGTGTGTGATGCTGTGTCGCTGAAGGTAAGACATGTACTCGAAGACCCGTGAGCACACAGGACAGCTGTAGCACTTTTTCTGGGCTGAAGTCCCATCAGCCCCAGCTTCTCTCTGTGACTTCTCATCCACTAGTACTGTGTAGGGGACACCCTGGGTGTCAATAAGCAGGTAGTGGTTGGGCCTTGGAGGGGAAGAAGTCTGGGGAGATCCTGAGGAGGCGGAAGGTCCAGGTTCTGGTGACAGGCCTGTCCGAGGGGGAGGGGCCTCCATGGCGTCAATCAAGGAACACACCAGGGGCTGGGGGCAGGGACATGGCAGCACCAGCATCCGGAGGGGTGGCTGAGGTCTAGTGGATGGGAGAGAGTATGAGAAGGTTACATAGTAGAGGGAAGCTCAGCATTCTTTCTCCACTATATACCTTGCCCAGGACCTCTGCATCCCTCCTACCTCTCAATCTGTCTTCTCCAGTCCTTCTACCTACTCCTGAATTCTGTGACCCTCTATAAGACTCCTAGAAAGCCTGTCCTTTGAAAACTTCTCATCTCCTGTGCTCCACCACCCACTGAACTCACAGGATCTCTTTACTCTCTACCACAACCAGCAACTCGCTCTATCTTCCCCCTTTGTGTTCTCAAGTCACTCCATGCCCCTCTACTGTAGTCACCCCGTAGGGCATCTCTAGGCCTCATCCCATAAATCTCCGCCTCTTTACCCTCTCTATAGCCCCGACCTAGATCTAGGTGTTGGCCCATCCTATACACTTCACCCAGAAACCTTTTCTACCTTCTGTATACTCCCAAAGCTTCTCAAAAGGGCTGCAACGTTAGGAATCCTAGTGATAACCCGCCCTCTAGCCAAGTCCCTGAACGTCTCTGTGCCCTCTTCTTCTCACCCACCTACCTCCAGTTCTCTCTCGTCCACCCCCATCCACCCCACCCCTCAGCCCTTTCTAGGTCCTAGCGCTCTCTAGGAGTACTTCTCTGGGTCCGCGGCCCTCGTCTTCTAAGCCTTAATATGTAACTTCTCGGAAGCTTCTCCTCGGCGCCCAGAACAGTTCTCCCTGGACGCCGACCCCACCCCGCCCCGCCCGGCGCGCAGGTACCCCTGCACCCCGGCCCCGCCCCTCTCCGCGGCCAGCTCCCAGCCCCAGTACCCGGTGCAGCAGCCTCTCAAGTCCGGCGACTCCGAACCGCTCAGGGCTACCCTCGCAGTTGTAGACAGCGACTGGACCGGGACCTCTAGGTGTCTCCCAGGAGGGGGCGGAGATGGGAAAGGGGAGCGAGCACCCGGGGACAGAGGAGGGTCCAAGGGAGGAAGGGGGGGCGGGGCGCCTAGGCCTTCGGAAAATGGTTCCGACCGGAAACACACGCCGAGAGGAAGGTTCCGAGGTGGTCATGGTCCAGTTTTCACCCCCCTTGTCCCCCCAACACACACAAGAGCCTGAAAATGGAGTGCGGAATGTTTATTGAGCAAAGAGTGGGGGTCGTGGACGGAAGGGAGTTGATACAGAAATGAACCAGACCGTGTCCATGCTCTTTTGTCATCTCTTCAACGCAGACAACCGTTCCCTACTTCACAGAGCAGAAAACCAAGGCTCAGAGAGGTCATGTCACCTGCAAAGGCTCACACAGCACAGCTGGACCAGAACCCAGTTCCGACTGGCTCGCAGGCCCAGGGTGGGGCAATGACTTTGGTCTACATCACACAGCTAGAAATGGGGGGGTGGGGGAGGGAGGAATGATGCTTCTCCCTTTTAAATAGATAGGGAAACTAAGACCCAGGTTAAGACAGTAACCTCAGCAGGGCCAGGGAAATGTGTAGGAGTGACGCTGTGTGGGTCAGACGTGGTGGCCCAGAAAGGGGCAGGGCAGGGCAGCGCAGGCCGGGTCTCCAGCTTAGTGGAGGCGCACGTGCTGCGCCAGCTCCGCGGCGTCCTGGAAGCGGCGAGGGCAGAGAGGGCAGGTGTGAGGTGGGCCGGCGCGAGCACGGTGTGTGGCGCGGTGCCGTGACAGGTGGCTGGAGCGCTTGAAGGCCTTGCCACAGGCGCCGCAAGTGAAGGGCTTGAGGTCCGAGTGCGATACACGGTGACTCTGCAGCCGCAGAGGGCTGGCAAAGACACGGGCGCACTCTGGGCAGCTGTAGCCCTTGCGAGGGCCGGGCTCTCCCGGGGGCGCCTCCCGCTGGGGCGGGCCCCGAGGCTCCTCCTCCAGCTGCACGGTGTACGTGTAGGGGACCCCGTTGGCGTCGATGAGCAGGTGGCGGCCCAGCCGCGGGGGTCGGGGCCCCGCCACCGAGGAAGAAGTAGAGGAGGGACCTTCCGACTTGGGAAAAGGGGGAGCCTTAGGGGGCGGTGGGTCCATGGCCTCTGGAGAGGAGGACCGAGGGTGGGGTGGCCGCGGAGGCAGCAGCAGCATCTGGAGCAGCAGCTGGGAGTAGCGGAGGAGAGAGAAGTTAAAATCGCCACTTCTTTATAGGAAAAGGTTCCTAAAAGGGAAAACGTTCCCATTCTCATTGTCTGCTGCCCGTTCTGCGCCATTGACCTACCTCCCCTACAAAATTAAAACTCTGACTCAAACCCAAATCTCCCAGATTCTATCAAGCTGCTTCAAGGACGCCTCCAAGTAAGTTCAGCAAAATCTCGCCACAACCTACCTTTCTCCTCCAGGGTCTTCCTCTCGGCCCCGAGGTCAGGTATGAGGGCGCCTTCTGACGACATTCTGTCCCTTCCCCCCACTCCCAATGGCAATCAGTCCCCAAATCTGTTTCTCTCTTTACATCTTAACGGCCTCTTTTATCTCACACTGCCGGCCCTATCGCCTCAGGGGTTTCTCTTAAACTGTCGTTTTCTCTTCCTCACCGCTCAGCCCCAGCTCAAGCCGCACCCTCTCCCCCAGGCCCCTGCATCCGCCTCCAGGCCCGTCTAGATCTCCATTCCTATTAGATGTCCGGAGGGCTCCCCACCTCCGCCTCCATCCATGGCCTCTCTCATTTCCTCTCCAGGTACTTCCCCAGAGCCCCACTAACCCAATTCCCCGCTTTTCACTCAGGGCTCCTCTATCCTGTTCCTACACTTAGCACCTCAAGGTTTCACTATCCTAAACCCATCGTACCTACTTCATCCCTTTCTTCTATTTACCCCAGCCCCCACCCCGTATCTTGCTACCTGTTACATTTCCAACGGCCCCCTCCCTACCCCGCCCTTATATATAAAACACTGACATCTTAATTTATTCTCTCTATACCCCCCAGGGGCCTCCTCCCACTCCCCATTATACACACTAGGACCTCTGGAGTCCCTTTCCCACACTACCTCTCCCAAGCCCGCTAGTCTTTCGTTTCTACATACATCTGGCATTTCTATTTCTCCTCCTCTTTACCTCTTCGGGGGCCCCATTCCTCTATCTGTTATACACAGCATGGTTTCTCCACCCCTCCTCTTTCGCTCTGACCCCTTTCCCTTCTGTGAACCCCAAAGCTCGGGCGCCCTCTATCCTGCTACATCTCCCGGGCCCCTCTTACTCCACTCACTTCCATAAGAAGCCCTAGCACCTCTACTTCCTCTCCTGTCCATCCACCCGGACCCCCATCGTATCCTTCCACGCCATAACCCACCCCCACTCCGGGTTGCTCCAGCCCACTTCCCCCAGCCCGGCCCCTGCGCGGTCCCAGAGCAGGCTCCTCCCTTATTCCGGCCCCCGTACCCGGTGCAGCAGCTTCTCGGGTCCGGAAGAGCAGGCCGAGGTCCCGGGCGGCCCCGGGATTCCCCTGGCGAGCGCCGGCGGCTGGACTAAGACTTCCGGGCAGTCCGGGCCGGCGGCGCCGGGGACGCGGGGAGAGAAAGCACGGGCGCGGGGGCGCGAGGGGCCGTGGCGTCCCTGGGAAAGGGCGCCGGCCGGAAACGCGCGCGACCCGCGCGAAAGTTCCGCCGCCTCTGAGCCGGCGCGCCCGCCAGTCTTCAAAGAGCGGGGAGAGGGACAGCCCCAGAGGCGCGGGAAGAAGCCACTCCCCCTGCTCCCCTCCCACCTTCCGAACTGGAATAGTTCAGTCGCTTTGACAGAGACAGACCCATAAACTGAGGCGAAGCTAGGTTAAGTCTCCCCGAAGTCCCACAGGAATTGGCGAGCCCAGGTTAGTCCTCTTTCCACTGGGCCATCCCTGCGGGCTCAGTCGAAGCCACCCAACAGTGCAGAAGGTGGGGAGAAGGGTTATTTCTGTCGGTTGAGCAAATGGGGAGATACAGATCCAGAAGCCAGCCATTTGCTCTGATGTGGCACAGCCATGATTCTCCCCATCAGCAAATGGGGAAACCGAGGCCCAGAGAAGGCCAGACATTGGTAGGTAGGGAGATGGAGAAGAGTGGCACTTCCCACTGGGCGCATGGAGAAACCCAGGCCCAGAAAAGGACAGACATTGTCAGATATAGAGATTGGAAGGTGTGATACTTCCCAGAGGTCACATAGGGGAACTGAAACCCAGAGGCCAGACATTGCCAGATATGGAGGTGGCGAAGGGTGGCACTTCCCACGGGAGGGGCAGCGGCCATGGCTTAGTGTCACCCGCACCAAGCCTAGTGCAGGCGCGCGTGTTGTGCCAGCGCCGTGGCGTCCTGGAAACGACGCGGGCACGGTGGGCAGGCGTGCGGGCGGTCAGCGCGGGCGCGGCGCGGGGGATCGTGAGCCGGACGCCGATGCCGCGCCAGATCACTGGAGCGCTTGAAGGCCCGGGAGCAGGCGACGCATGTAAAGGGCTTGAGCGTCGAATGTGACACGCAGTGGCGCTGCAGCTGCAAGGGGGAGCCGCACACGCGGTCGCACTCTGGGCAGCTGCAGCCCTCGCCGGGACCGAGCTCGCTGGCCGGCGGCGCCCGCAGCTCGTTCTCCAGCTGCGCTGTGTACTTGTAGGGCACGCCGTGCGTGTCGATAAGCAGATCGTGGCGTGGTGGGGAGGGCGATGCACACGAAGGGGAGGCCTGGGGGGACGGCGGGGCTATGGCCACGCCGTGCGTGTCGATAAGCAGATCGTGGCGTGGTGGGGAGGGCGATGCACACGAAGGGGAGGCCTGGGGGGACGGCGGGGCTATGGCCACGCCGTGCGTGTCGATAAGCAGATCGTGGCGTGGTGGGGAGGGCGATGCACACGAAGGGGAGGCCTGGGGGGACGGCGGGGCTATGGCCTCGCGGCAGGCCTGAAAGGGGAGCAGCGGTCAGAGCAGCAGCAGCAGCACCTGGGGGTGCAGCTTCGGACCCACAGAGGAAGAAAAGGGGAGTTACCGTCGCGCCCAGCCTGAGGACCCCAGGGATAGCCAAAACTACATCCTAGAGAGCTGTCCAACAGAACTTTCCTCGATGGTGGACCAGCCCGTGGTTCACCTGGGAGAGTGTGGTGCTGATAACACCAAGGCCACGGTTCGGATCCCCATATATGGATGGCCGGTTAGCTCACTTGGGAGAGCGTGGTACTGACAACACCAAGTCAAGGGTTAAGATCCCCTTACCGGTCATCTTTTAAAAATAAAAAATAAAAAGAACTTTCCTCAATGGTGGGAATGTTCTATGATCTGCGCTCATTCCAAAGGACAGCCACTAGCCACGTAGGGCTATTGCCCTCTTGAGAGGTAGCCAGTGGGTCTGAAGACCTCAATTTTACATTGTATTTTATTTCCCTTAATTTAAATATAAATAGCCACATATGGCTAGAGGCTACCTACCATGAGGGACAGCTCTGTAGCCCACCCTCAACCAGTTGCAAACTGGAGGCCCACAGGCCAAAAAGGGCTCACAGTTGTATTTGGCTTGGACCACAACTTTTTTTTTTTTTTTTAACATTTTACCGGGCAATATTTTAAAAACCAAAAAATGCACACATAAATGCAAAATTCTCAGGTAAACTTGGAAAATTGCTAGATGTGGCAACAACCACCTGGAACTGAGAAAGCATCTGCCTTCTCCGGAAAACCCCCCAAGTGAACCAACAATTGTGATATTAGGCTAAAATTAAAGATTCCCTAGAGTTGTGCTGTCCAGAATGGTAGCCACTGGCCACACGAGGCTATTAAGCACTTGACACCTGTCTGGTCTGCATTGAAATGTGCCGTAAGTGCAAAATACCCAACAGATTCTGAACACTTGGTACAAAAAACAACAACAAAAAAAAGTAAGCTATTTTACAAATGTGTATGTTGAATTATTTTGAAATGATACTACTTTAAATATTCTGGTTTAAGTAAGGTATGCTAATAAAATTAACAACTGTTTCTTTTCACTTTTCTAACGTAGCTACTAGAAAATTTAAAATTACATATGTGGCTTTCGTTCTGTTTCTACCAGACAGTGCTGCCCTTTCTTCCTCTAGTAATTTTATGGTGGGAGAGGCAGTAGGCCCTGGTGAATTCAGAGGGCATGCCTAGTCTAAAGGGCCTGTCCCTGCTCTGGTCACCTGCCTGCACATTTAAGGCATTTGAGTTTGTCTTCCTTCCTACACTGCGTCACCATTCTCCTATATCTATCTCTTCAGCTATACCTTCTATCTATATCAGGGGTTCTCGAATTTGACATTAGTCATCTGGAGATGGATCATTCGTTGTCAGGGGCTGTCCTGTGCATTGTAAGATGTTGAATAGCATCCTTTGGCTTCCACCTGCCAGATGCCAGTAGCACCCTCCCCAACCCCCAGTCATGACAACCTAAAATGTCTCCAGACATTGTCCAGTGCTACCTAGGGGCAACATTGCTCCTGGTTGAGAATCAGTGGTCCACATGGACAACCCAATCTGAATCTCCCACCCTGATCTCTCCCTTGACTTTCAACCCATATAACCAGTTGCATTCCATGATGTTCACACTCACCACACCACACCCTCACCACTACCCCCAGAAATAATGACAACAATGGCCAACGTTTATTGAGCCCTGGCTTGATGACAGCCATTGCTAAATGCACCACATCCTCGGAGCAGACCTACAAAGTAAGAGCCATGAGGATCCCTATTTTACAGATGAGGAAACTGAAGCTCAGAGTGGTTGTGTGTTTGGCCCAAGGTCATACATCCATAGGTGGGAGAGCCAGGACAGCACCTGCTTCTGCCTGACCTAAGTCAGGACACATGACCCCAGTATGTAAGCACCTGACACTTATCTCCAACCCCACCACCACTACCACCACCCCAGTGCAAACCACCACTGTTTACCCTGTCTTACAGCAACAGCCTCTCCATCTACCATTCTGCCTCCTCCAGTCCCTTCTCTCTGTGGCAATATCTGAGCAATGTTTCTTCAACCCATAAAATCATGTCATTTTCTGACTTAAAACCCTCCTTGCTGCACTTAGAATAAAACACAAAAGTGCTTCAAGGCCCTGTGTAGACTGGCCCCTGGCTACCTTCCCTTCCCAGCCCTGATGACCATGGTGCTGCCTTTCCATTGTTAATGCTGCCAAATTCTCCCCTCTCTGCAATGTTCCTTTCTGCCCCTGACAAGGATGGACCCTTTCTGGCCACTCAGGTCTCAGCTCAAGTAACACTTCGTTGTACAAACCTTCAATGATTGTGTTAGCTCAAGTAGGTAATGCCCTGCTCTGTCTCATCAGTCTATTTCTTTCCCATCCTGTATGACAATCTATGATAGCCTTGTTTATTAATCTGCCATTTTACCGTCTGTCTTCCCTGCTCTCCAAGAAGGCAAGCCCAGCTCTGTCTTAGCCAACATTCTATCTTGAGACTCCAGCAAATGTCCTGAGAGAAGATAGGGGCTTCACTCAATATTAGTTGAATTAATGAATGTGATCACCCCATCCAAAAGTCTAGCATTATCTCTCTTCTCCCCTCAAAAAGACCCTATTCACCCCCTGGGACATGATCATGATGAAGCCCCACCATCCAGATCCTCATTTCCTTCCCTCCCTCCATCACTTCCCAAAGCCAAACAGGCACCAAGTCCTATCTCTCTCCTCTCTCCTCTCTCTCTCTCTCTCTCTCTCTCTCTCTCTCTCTCTCTCTCTCTTCTTGCTGGCTGACAGGGATAGAACCCTGGACCTTGGTGTTATCAGCACCACACTCTAACCAACTGAGCTAAAGGGCCAGCACTTTCCTCCATTCTCGAAGCTACAGCTCTGGCCTCTTCCTCTCTCGCCTGGACTCCAGTACCAACCTTCTCTCTGGTATCTTTTCCTCCAGTTCCCCTCCCACATTGGCCAACAGATTCTTCTCACAGCTGTGTTAAATTTGACTTCTGAACCTTTCAGAACCTTTTCATGGCCTCCATTAGCCTCAGGACCAAGTCCAAGTCCCTCAGCCTAGAATTTAAGGCCCTTCATAAGGTGCCAGCCACCTCTACACCTCACCTCTCATTCCTGTGCTCCAACCACACTGGCATCTCACAGCCCCCTAGCCAGATCCTGAACTTGCAAAGCTCCATGTGCAAAGGCTTATATGCTTTCCTGTGCCTAGGAATTCTTCTCCTTGCCTCTGCTGGCAACCTCCTCAGCCTTCCAGAATACTGTGCTCTGACCTCCCAGGCTGGCTAGGCATCTCCTGTATGCCCTGCTCACCAGTCCACCAGCCCCAGAAGGATCTTTCTAACACCTACTCTGCTTATAATCCTCCCATGGCTCTGCCTACAGTACAAAGCCCTTAGCCTGGCATTCAAGGCCTCTCACAATCTGCCCTCACCCGACTCAGACCAGACAGCCAAACGAATCATTCTGACTTCTCCGTTCATGCCTCAAATTTTGGGCCACAGTGCCTCTGCTCATGGTCTGTTTGGGATTCCCCTCTTAGTCTCCAATGCTATCAAATAAACACCCTGGTCCTCAGCAATCTCTCTCTCCTCATCAACAATTGATTACCTGTGCTCCCCAAACTCCAGTTTACACTGCATGTTCATATATAGGGACTCTCTTAATCCTCTCAAGAATCCAGTGAGGCAGGCAGGCAGGAGCACTCCACTGGCCTCAGGGAGAACAAAAGTCTTGCCTCGGATCTCCAGCACAGGTGACAGAGTGACACAGACACACACACACACACACACACACTCCAGCACCCTCACTTCTCTCTGGCTGCCCAAACCCTCCCCAGCCTGCAGACTAAGCCCTGCCTCCTTCAGGAACCTTTCCTGTCCTACCCTCTTTTCTCAACGTGTCCACCATTCGTCCTACTTCATCTTGCTTTCCCATGCAACAACCCCTTCTCCCCACTGGGGAATAAAGTGATTCCCATGCCTGTGCCCTTGGGTCAATTGCGGTCAAAGTAATCCGCTCCCCGGGCTGTCTTCCCTCCTATCTCTATACCCCAACCCTGATCTCCGCAGCCCCTGCCCAACCGTCCCTCGCAGGACTTCTCAGCCTCCAACGCCCCTGCCCTGGGGGCCGCTCCCTCCCACACCCCAAGTCCTCACTGCTCCGTTAGGCAAGACTTTAAGAATTCCGCCGCTTCTGAGCCTTCCCATTCTCGCCTGCCCCGACCCGCCTCCACGCCCCGGCGCAGCAAATTTTCCGGCCCGGAAGTGGCCGCAGGGATGACTTCCGGGGATGCTCCAACCTCCCAGCGGGAGTAGGGGACGAACCAGCTTCGGGATTCAGAGAGCAGCAGGAAAAAACTCCGGTCAGAAACGCACACACGCAAAAGAAAGGTTCCTACCTACATCAGCCATCGAAAACAAACCAAAACTAATATTTATTTAAGCCCGTCACAGCGGGCACCGTGAGTTTCTACAAAGAAGTAATGGAGCGATATGCGCTACCTCTGTATAGTATCTGACCTTTGTACACTGCCTATCACACCTGACACTGATGTCTCAATTCATCCTATGCATCAGGGAATGGAAACTGAGTTCCTGGTTGAGGCAGTGGTTGATTCCAGTCTGTAAGAATGGGCCACGGCAGACTCAGGGATCCAACAAGAAACCCCTACCTCCCAGCTCCGGCCAGGGTGGCTGGGGGAGGAAAGGTCCAAGGACCACAAGCCATTCCTTATTTTATGAATGAGGAAACTGAGGCGCAGAAAGGGAGTCACTTGCCACAGGCCATACAGCAAGTAAGCAATGAGACCAGGACCCAGGCCTCTCCTCTCTGTACCAGAAACAACAGACTCTGTTGGAGTGAGCAGGACTGAAGCCATGTTGGTACCTACAACTGCATGGGCTGTAAGCAAATTTTAAAAGGCTCTGAGTTCCCTCTTTTCCCATGGTTATTTGGTATTTTGGACCTTCATTATGGGGCAAGATGACATTATTTACATGAAAGTAAAGTTGTTTTCCAGCCAGCCTGAGGCTGCAGACTTGTACATACTACTCATACCCTGAGATAAGGACAGGAGCAGAAACTAGATGGAGTCTTGGCGAGACCTTGCACCTGAGACCTTGCATGAAGCCCTCACTGCTAACGTGCCCCTCTCTCCTGCTTTTCATTTTCCCACATTCTATTCCCTCATCCCCCTTTGAAAAACTACTCAGTAAACTTGAGTCTGGAAGATGGCTTTAGCCTGATCATTCTCCTTCAGGTTTATTGGAGAGATGGGTTAGCCTAACATCTCTCCTCAGGTCACCAGTATTACTGAATAAAAGCTGACTTCCATTTTCACCAACATTTGACTTTTGAGTGGTTTTCTTTTGTCTGGGGGAAGGCAGCTGGACCTGTGAGTTTGATATCAATTTTGGGGAGCCTCAGCCAGCAGCTGAGTGTCCCCTGTAACAACTCCATGGAGTCCCTGTTGCCTCTCTACCTTTCAGCCTAGTGGATCTGGATGTGCTGGGCCAGCTACTGGACATCTTGGAAATGCCAGGGACAGAGCAGATAGGTGTCATCCTGATCTAACCAGGACTGGCGTATGAAGCAGTTTACATCTCTCACTTGGAGAGATTGCTGCGGCATTTGAGGGCCTTGCCTCCGAGACCACAGATATAGGGCCAGTGATCCAAGTGGGAGGTGCTGTGGCTCGTCAGGTGCAGGGAGATCTTGAAGACCTGCAAACACTGGTGGCAAGTGAAGCCCTTGGCAGGTTCGGGCTCAGGACTCCACTCCAGTGGGGATAGGGATGGGAGGTAGGGTCCCCCACTATGTACAAGTAGGGGACACCATTTCCATCAGTGAATGGGTAACAGTCCTTTTGAGGGGAAACAAAGGCTGCCAGGAAGACGGAGGAAGAGGAAGGGGCCAGTTCAGGGGCAGGGGTCACGCCAAGAGAGAACAGGTCCATGGCCTCCTCAGAGAGAATCAGGGGCAAGGTATATTTTGGGATCCTGAGCCTGAAGGAAAGAGAGAAGAGATTAAAGATAAAGTTCTCTCAAAAACTCAACAACTCAGAACCCATGTATCCCATATCCCAAGACATGCCTGTCTCCCCCCAGCCTCCCCACGGTTCTACCACTGGGCTAATGCACCCCGGGGGGGCTCTCTAGCCACCCTGAGGACAGGCCTCTGTAGCACAGGCCCCTCTAACCCCGCGACTTCTGGGAGTCTCTGTGGTGAACGCAAATTCCTCTTGTGGCCCCAGGCTCAGCACCTACTTCCCAGCTCTGCCTTACACTATGAGGGCCTCTCAGGTCCAAGAGTGGTGGGAACCAGCTCCAGGGTTGGCCCTGGGCTGCCCACTGTGCTGTGGTGATGGATCAGGAGAACCGGGAGTCTTTCTCCCGCTCCCACCACTTTGGTGATCAGATTGGTCCCCAGAAATCTACCCTAGTGGGAAACAAACACCCCAAACTACAGTTCTGGACATCTGTGAGCCTCATTTCTCTGCAACAGGAGGGAGGAAAAGTCAATATAAAGTCACTATTTGGTGGCGTGCTGGATGCAGAGGGAGGGACTGTAAGAGGGATGGCTTTCATCCGAAAAGTCATGATGTTTCTTTACAAGTCACATTATCCTTCTGGGCTTGAGAAGGAGCCAGTCTTTCTGTGATATGAAGGACTTTATGCCATAGGAAAGACAATAGAAAGTCTCTCTACAGGTAGGAACCCAAATCTGACAGGGCTAATGATTGTTACTACTCAGCAAAGGCAAAGGGCCAGAATTATTCAACCCATCAGACAGTTATGGAAACCCAGGCCTTGACACTTGATAGACAATGGAGTCAGGGTTGGCCAGTTAGCTCAGTTGGTTAGAGTGTTGTGCTGATAACACCAAGGTCCAGGGTTCCATCCATGTAGCATCCAGCCACCAAAAGAAGAAAGGGAAAATGGAGTCAGTAGCATTTCTCTATTGGTTAGATGGTAAAACCAAGGCCAGA